GGGGGGGGGGGGGGGGGGGGGGGGGGGGGGGGGGGGGGGGGGGTGCGCGCTGGAGACATTCAACATTCAGACGACCTATTCGAGTGCTTGTGCGGGAACGAGATTCTCTATCAGCCATACCAACACGCCAGGCGCAGAGTCACCATCTACCTAGAATCAACACCGTTTCCATGGGTGGCCGTTGCATGCAAGGGGAGGAGCACCACCGCTTTTGAGGGACCAGGGCTTCCTGCACCTCTTGGTGCTCATGTAACTGTTGTAGCTGAACATGGACGACTGTTTCATGGAATTCCAGACGAACAGTACGTGTGCTGTCGTGACAACAGCAACGAAATTTCATCGAGACGGCCGAGGAATGATAACCGCTTCTCGTCGGCAAGCAACACGCCAGCAACACACCATTATGGCACGTACGCCCCAAACACACACACACACCTCGCACAACTGCTCGCGGCACAAGCGTACCCACTTCAGAGGTGCAGAGGGGGTAGGGCGCGACAATCGAGATTGGCCACAGCTGTTCTCGACATCAACCGGTTGGCCATATCTGATCTCGACAGCAACCATCCAGAATTTCCATGGGTTCGAAACCAAACTTCAACTACCCCAAAAACACCTGCCACCGCTTTGCCTCGTAAATCAACTCATAACAAACATAAAAAAAAAATCAACAGGTTCCAAGTGATACAAACCGATCCCAAGAGAGCTCTTCCATGACCAAGCCTTTGCCGGGAGAACCCGTTACACGAACGAACCTCTCACTGTTCCTCGCACCATTCCCAACCAACCAACGGCAGCCAGCCCCTTCGTACGCTCGCTCCTTCCTCCCTCCCTCACCTCAAAATCTCGGACCGGCACGTCCGACTGTCCCAGCACCGCAAACAGGATGCCCGAGACAAGGGCCACGATCACGACCACGCCGACCATGTACTTCGTCGCTGAGCACAGAGCCTTCTTGCAGTCGTTGCGACCCCTGACGTCATGGTAACACATGTTCATTTGACAATTAGTTATGTTGCACGATGTTTGGTTCCGTGCAGCAACCAACTAAGTGTGAGGAGTCCGCGGAAGAGGCAACAAATGGGCGGGCGACATAGGGGGGGGGGGGACAAGGGCACGTACTGGTGGAACATGACAAAGGCATATGCTTGGTGGGGGATACGCCCAGTTTAGAGAAGCATCGAGTGCAGTCGCCATCAAGAAGATTCCGCACAACTCCGCCTCACACTCGACCATCTCTCGGTTAAAAGCACCGAAAACCGCTTCCCATCCCATCAGCCTCCTAGAACGAACAAACAAACCAAAAACAACAGCAGTGACACAAGCGCCAAACTCTTCCGGTTCCGTCGCACTCTCATGAAAAACAAAGAAGAACAGCAGCAACCAAGACCCCGGAAAGAAAAACTCACGTTAGAGCGAGCGAGTCGTCCTCCTCGTAGAAGAAGATGGTGTACGGGATGATGAACAGGGCGAAGATAAAGATGAGCATGAACACTATGTACCACGCCGTAGCCATGTCGAGAGACCCGCAGAAGATGCTGCTCCAAGACTGGTCACACTGGACGTTGCCGGAACCATTCGCCGCGTCGATCGGCAAGAGTATGACGGCTAACTCCGCAAGCGTTAGCGACACAAGCTGTTTTCAGTGAGAGGGGGGGGGGGGG